TACAACAGCAAGACATGAAATTCAACAGAGATCAATATAAAGCACTGCTTACCAAGGAAAGCAAACACAACAGCAAATGCAAAACAAAGGGTGCAGGCCTTTATTGCTCCAATGTGAGATCCCCAGTTTTGACAGACAGCTCTTGGAAATGTCAGCTCCATGCACAGTCAGCCAAAAAAGGACACCAGAGTTTAGGAAGTGCTAAGTAACAAAAAAAGAAAGCAGAGAACATCATGGTACCTCTGCATAAGACCAATAACCTGCTTCCTGAACAGACTCTATAGTCTGGGAGTCCAATCTCAAAAAGAAAGCCAAAGATGTTGAAAGCAGATCAGGCGGAGTACAGTCAAAGGTAGGAACTGATTCCCCTATGAGGAATGATTAAATAAATGAGTTTTCTTCAGCCTGAAGAAGAGATTGGGGGGTGGGTGCTCAATGAGGGGATGACTGTGGAGGGAAGGATTAACCACTGCTTCTTTTAAAACTATGCAAAGAGCAAACAGAAAGCAGATACAAAGCGAATTAAAGGAGATGCATTTCCCTGTAACACTAATTAAGTTCTGGTATTCCTTGCCATTGTAATTGAGGATGCTAAAATTTTATAAAAGGCTCTGAGAAAGACTGGACAAATTGATGGATAGGAAATTCATGGAGGATTGTTATATTCTCATGCACACAAAAATAATAACCTTCTAGGAGGTTTCTGAGCTTTATATTTCCAGAGGCTGGGCAAATACCTGGGGAAGGACGTGCTTGTTCTACCCCTACTCCCCTCCCTAGGCATTTACTTTGGGCTACATTTGGAAGCAGGATACTAGTGGGTGGTGGTTGGAAGACCTTTGATCTGACCCAGTACAGCTGTTCTAATTTTTAATTAAAAAATGCTTGTCTTTCTGTGACACTGAAGTGACTAAAAAAAAAAATCAAAGAGAGAGATCTGAGAAGTTTAAATAAAAAATTCTGGTATGTGCAAAACACTAAAAACAGGGTCACATTCATAAGCTAAATTGTTTCCCAGCTCAAGTATTCAATGATGTATAACGTGAAATATGGCAAAGTCAGCTCAGGAGTTTGCAATGAGTACTATCCGTTCTGAAAAGGAAGAAATTAAAGCTACATACAATAGACTTCCTGCTGGGAAGGTGAGAGGGAAGGGAACTCAGCATCCCAAAGGATGCACCAGTATAAACCCCAAACTAAACCAAGAGACATGAGTCATCTAAGCTACAACATTATTGGAGAAAATCCAGGAAGCCAGACCTAAAAGAGGAATAGAAAGGAAGTGGGGGGAAGATAGATAGAAATAAAGAGAAAGAACAAGAAAGAAATAGTTTAAGACAAGAAAAGAGAACTTTGAGAGAGTTCCCTAGACCTGAAAAGCAATGGAGGTAGTCACACCACCAGACTTCCAGGCTGACATACATTTGTGTGGGCCAACACAAGAGTCAAACCAGTACATCCCCATTATCTCAACCAGCACTTCCTTCTGCCAGCACTGACACTGTGCATGAATGTGAAGCCTTGTGGTGAGCTAAATTCAGAAGCAAGTCATCTATAAACTAACACTTTATGGCAAGCAGGCTTGTGGCTCAGACCAGCCTTAGGATCTCTCTGGAGAGTGGCAATAGAGGATCAGTTCTTGCTCTATGGCTTGCACCCTCATCCAGACAGCTGGGACACAGATTAAAGATGTGGAAGCCTGAAGGAGGGGGGAAAATGCAAAAGAAGGAACACTAGGTTCTTGCTCTACAACTTGCACCCTCATCCAGACAGCTGGGATATAGGTTAAAGATGTGGAAGCCTGAAGGAGGGGGGAAAATGCAAAAGAAGGAACACTACTTTGAAAAATAATCTATGTTTGTGGTGTAAATTTTTACTTTGGTTTGGTTAACTTTTTTCAGACTTGCAATTGTTGTCTACCTACAGTAAAGCTGTGCTTCACTTGACCCAGAAGCTTGCCCAGTGCTAGCAGCCTTGGGTGATGCTGAGAAATATGAGACACACTTCCTTCGGGATAAAAGGTTTGCAAAGCAGTGCATTCAGGCTCTGCTAGTAAACCTGTACCCTCCAACCTAACAGAGAGATGAGGAGTTCCCTCTGCCAAGTTCCAAAGCCAGGGTGCAGTAGCACTGCACAGTGTGAGGCTCCCCACACTGGGTGCTCCCCCATGTTTCACCTGCAAAGCTCACACTACAGAGCACCCCGCAGCCCTGGACAGCCCTCAGTCACCTCAGTATTTATAGGCTTCTCATTATCAAATGCAAACTAAAACTGTACTCACTTATACTTAGTGTAATGTAGTCCGGGCTTAATTGTGTTTTTACCCCAAAAAGAAATTCCAGTCTTTGTTAGTCTTTGAGACTAACATGCACTAAAAGCCCTTGACAGGCACTGGTAGAAATATGGAATTATTTAGCACTTAGTAAAGGAATGGTAAGGAGCTGCCTTCTTTCTTTAGGGGTAATTGAATCTTTAACCCTGATGTCACTAAGGAAGAGTGGCTCAACACTTTCTGTACCATGTGGCAAACATCAGTTTTGAGGCCTTTTGAATAGGTCAGATGGAAAGACAACAGCAAAATAAATTGCTTGCTTGTCTGTGCCCAAGTTGGGCTGCTGAGCACTCCCTGAAGCACGAGCAGCTCTTCCCTGGTGCTTACAGCTTCTCACTCTCACTCCTGCAGAAACAGCAGCTGAAAGAGCTGCGGTGGGAGGCACTCAGAGAAAAAGGCAGCATTGCAGACCTCTGTCCTCATGGCCCCTGTTCAGCACAAAAGGGGCCAACTGCAGCAATCAAGATTTCAGACAGGTGAAACGGGATGTATAAGAAGAAAAGCAGAGAAGAGTGTCATCTGCTGCCATGGACTGCAGAACAAAACTTGCTTAAAATTTTGGAATTTTAAGCAGCTATTTGGTTTTCCTGGTAGTATAAATCTCAAAAATTTTAGGAATAAAATTGCCAAGTATTTTCACACCTTACAACTCACTGTTCTAGATTTCCCTTATCTGTTTCCAACAGCTAAATCCTCCTAAAAAGAGTCCATACCTGGAACATTGGTTTTTGTTATATTGTTAGTAAGTTGTCAAAACACCAAACATTTTTTCCAGCTTTTCTTCATCCTTCCTTGTTTTTCCCTTATTTCTTCAATTAAGTTGATTGATATACTAAAGCTTTCAATAAACAGGCAGACAAAAAACCCCACTATTTATAAACAGCTAGTGAGACCCTTCATAGCTGAGAATTTAGGATGTGGTTTCCCATCAGTTTAAACATCATCTAGGCTGTAGTGCTCCTGTTATCCCCACTGCAGCACAGGCACCTTTCACTAAGACTTTCTTTCACTAACTCTTCCACAGCAGTACAGGAGGCAGATTCAGATGGAGACTAAATCACTTTATGAGGTGCAGCTGCACAATTTCAAGTGGCTAAACTGTGGTGGAATAGGGTGAATCATAAAATGGTTTGAGGTGGAAGGAACATTAAAGATAATCCAGAAATAATAAAAATAACATCCCCTGCCAAGCCTTCCACTAGATCAGGTTGCTTACAGCCCCATCCAACATGGCCTTGAACACTTCCAGGGATGGGGCATCCACAGCTTCTCTGGGTAATCTCTTCCAGTGTCCCACCACTTTCACAGTACAGAAGTTCTTCCTAAAGTCCACTATTAGGTTCACTGTGGAACAATATCCTTAGACTATATGTATAGAGTGAAAAACTACAGGAAGCTCAATTTTTTGTCAGCTGTGGATAGGAGGAGATTTTTCAGCTCTTACAACTTGTAATGTTATACAGGGATATAGTATCACATGCTACTTCCAAAAAGTAGGAATGGGTGCGCCTGTGGTCAATGTTTCAGAAACATCTAATTAGAGCCAAAGGAAAGTTGAGGCATCAAGGCATAGCTTGGCAAGGTTAACCAGTTGGGTGCCCCAGGGAACAGGAAAAGAAGACAGATATAAGAAACAAGTATTCACTCTGGGGGCAGCAGGGAAGCTGCCTGGTGGAAAAGGACCTGGGGTGTGGGTGGCTGAACAAGAGCCAGCTGTGCCCAGGTGGTCAGCAAGGCCACTGGCACCCGGCCTGTGTCAGCAATAGTGTGGCCAGCAGGGCCAGGCAGTGACTGTCCCCCTGTGCTCTGCAGTGGTGAGGCTGCACCTCGAGTGCTGTGTCCAGTTCTGGGCCCCTCACTAGAAGGACAAGAGTCCAGAGAAGGGCAACAAAGCTGGGGTAGGGTCTGGAGTCATGTGGGGAGTGATTGAGAGTTGGGGGTGTTGAGCCAGGAGAAAAGGAAACAGAGGTGAGTGACCTTCTCCCTCTCTACAACTTCCCGAAAGAAGCGTGTAGCCATGCGGGGGTTGGCCTCTTCTCTCAGGGAATCAGCAGCAGGATGGAGCACACAGTCAGTCCATGTAAGCTGCACCAAGGGAGGTTTAAGCTGGACATTAGGAGGAATTTCTTCACAGAAAGGGTGATTAGGCATTGGAATGGGCTGCCCAGGGAGATGGTGGAGTCACTATCCCTGGAGGTGTTTAAGGAGACACTGGATGTGGCACCCAGTGCCACGGTCTGGTTGACATGGTGGTGTTTGGTCACACGTTGGGTTCGATGATCTCAGGTCTTTTCATCTCAACCTTAATGACCCTGCGATTCTTCGGGAAACACGTTAAGTTCGGGAGCTGCACCAGGTCGGCTCCTCCCTCCCTTCAGAAACCCGCATACAGCCGCTCAGTGTTGTACACACGGAAGCTCTGAGGCAAACCGAGCGAACACGGCCCGCTCCTCCCGTCCCATGGCGGCCGCGCCGCGCCCAGCCAGGCGGGAGCGCGCGCCGCCCCTCAGCGTCCGGACCGCGCGCGCCCCCGCGAGCCGAGCGCGCGCCAGCTCCGAGCGGCGTCTCCGCCCCTCGGCCCGCGCGGGGCAGGGGGCGTGGCCAGCCTCGTTCCCACCCCGCAGCGTACATATAAAGCTGGCGCGCAGGCGCCCCGCCCTCTCTTTCCCCGCGGAGCGCCAGCAATGGCGGCACACGGTAAGGCGGCGCGGGATGCGGCGTCTGCCGCTGCCCCGGCGGGGAGCGGTGGGGGGGGATGGTTTCTTCCTTCTGCTTGGGCGTTCGGGCGGATCGCCCGCAGTGCCCGTCGCGTAGTGCTTGAGGCTGGAGCCGGCAGCTGAAGCCCTCACCCTTGGAGGCGGGAATAGAGCTAGGCGAAAGGCGACCCTAATCCAGCTGTGGGGCCACAGCCGCCCGTGCGCGGTGCCCTGCTGAGAGCCGCGGAGGGGCGAGGGGACTTGGAGAAGACTACATATCACAGCATGCCTCGCGGGAGGCTCCGTGGCGGAAGCCGCGTGCCGAGGCGCGGGGCAGGCTGGGAGCGGTAGGCGGCGGTGACCCGCGTGGCGCGGCCGGCCGGCGCCATTTTGATCCGGGGCCGGCGCGGGGGCTGCCCCGCGATGCCCTCACACCTCGGCTCGTACATCAAACCTGCGTAAGGCGGAACCACCCTGTTCGTGTGGCAGAGGGTTGGTGCACACGCTTGTGTTACCCGTAGGTCTTTTTGGAGGGCTCAGCCAGCGGCATCATGGCATTGCTCCACAGCAGACTTAGGAAAGTGCTGTGGAATCCACATAGCGTCCCAAGGAAAGACTCACAACATTTAGGTGATACCTGATGTAAATCATAAGATTGTTTTTTAACTAATTATGTTTTCTTTATTTTTAAGACAATGGCACAGCATAATAAAGATTTGTTTTAAAAGTATGCCACCACGACCCCAAAGTACTGACAGAAGCCCATTGTGTGCTTAAGATGCCTTTTTGTCCCCTCTATGAAATGCTGATGTCATTGAACCCATAGCACTTCAAAAGAATGGGAAATAACATTACATATATCGACGATTCCAGGCTCTTACCTGCAAGCAAAGATGTGGATGTGGGTGGATTTACCCAGGGAGTTGTCAGATGCGTTCATTGTGTGTTTAATTAGCTTGTCTAACAGTCTGAGTCACACGTTAGATGACTGAACAGTAAATTTTTGGAACTTAAACCATTACTAACCCTTGATTATTGAGTTTAATACACTCAGCATAAAGTTTATTGCATGCAAGAAGTGGAAGCTTGAGTCTTTTTATAGCTTTAATTGTTTTTGTGATATGAAACAAAATGCTTGATAGGTTATCTTTTATGGCTCAATGCATTTATTATGTCTGTAGTAGAGGGTGAGATACTTTAAATAAGCACATTCAAGTGATAACGTATTGTCACACATTTCTTGAACTGCTTGAGTCAGTGGAGTTTGATAATTGCTACATGATTAAAACATTGCTACAACATTAAAACATTCTCTAAACCAACTTAAATCAGTTCTTATAAGTGATTAAAATCTTTCCTTAAAAGGTCTTTGGACTGAGGTTTAACAGTTGGGATGTGTAGTTATTTCTACAATGCTTTTCATCAGCAATTTCACGTGGGTGTAGCTTGAAACTGCTTTGTTGTTTAAAACTGCATTTCTTGCTGCCTTTCTCGTGCAAGCTTGTGATTTAGTACTTAACATGCTGCTTCTAGAGATTGTGTTGATGATTATTGCTTCTTAATGTGTGTGAGTTACTGGCCTGGTAGTGTGAGTGCTGATTTCAAGTTTTAAGCCTGTCCATGTTTGTTTTTAGGTGTGATGGAGAGGAGGTTTTCAGTGGTGCCAAGTACGTCCTACATTAAGGTAACAGCTTTGGAATTTTTAATGTTGCTCTAGAAGTAACACTGCATTTCTGTTTTTGACCAAGTTAATAAATACTTGTGTTTTATAACTTGGTTTCTGGCTTTTTTGTCTGCCAAAGTATGGGAAGTGCCAGAGAGTTGTCAGTTTTGTACGGCTACTGAGTGGGACAGAAAGGAAAAACTACATTGCATTTTCATAACTGCCATCAAAGTGATAAGTAATTATTTGATAATTTTTACGTTTCATGCTATTTGAGTTAGTCTGTAGGTTAGTTCTTAGACTTCCTTTGCTTGCAAAATTTCACCTGTTCCAGAAGAGTATTGTTGCATGAAAATTTTAGTTTTTTAGTGCTTGGTGATTATGTTTCTGACATAGTGACGTGAGAGATGATGCTAGACCACAGCAAGAGATATTTTCTAGTTTAAAAGATAATTTTTCTTATCTTTAATTTTAGCACTTCATGGAAGGACCGTCAGAAGTAGAAGAATACTTGGTACACACAAGTGGATTTTCCTGAAAAATGTGTATGTTCTAAATGATCAGTGGGGATAAATTAACAATAAATGGATTAGAAAACGATGCATAGGATTAAATTAGTAGTTATGTCATTAGCTTTAAAATTGAGGTATCAGTAATTTTGGGCATCTTTGACATTGTTTAGAACTGTGTGGGCTGGGGGGTTTGGGAATAGGTATTTGTATTGGAGGAGCTGGCAAAATTCCTGTCCTGAAGTGTTCATATTAAATTTAAAGTTTGCTTCAGAATAGCTTTTAATTTAATTTGCACTTTATTGGGAAATAAGTATGAAACAGTGTAGTCAAAGAAAACGGGACATCTGGATGCTTGTTAATATAAATAAGCAAATGTTCCCGTATTTTAATAAAAATGTGTATTCACTTTGTTAGTGTATAGTTATAGTTATCCTCACTGCTTTGAAGGAACGAAAGAAAGAACTCCAGGATCTGTATTCATTTAAATTTTACTCAAATGCTTATAAGCAGTTGTTACAAAAGTAGAAATTTGTTGTTTTTACTGGCTTATGTTATATTATATGTGAACTTGTTGTAATTTGAGATTTTACTTAAATTTCTAGAGTGGCATGAACAGTTTCTAGTAATGGCAATGTGATGTGTCCTGAAGAAAGGTTTCCTTGCAACAGGAAATAAGAGGTAATATTTATTGATGAAACACCAGGCATTTTCTGTTGATAATAAATTATTCCCTTTTTAGTACATTGCTAGTGAAAGAGGTGAGGGTTGTCTTGTGGAATGTATGAATGGTGTTGCATTTCTTGTCACTGATACTTGTGGATAATGGTGAATCATGCTAAAACTGCCAAACCTGGTACATTGATGAGCAACTTCATAAGGCTTTGGCTACTGAGATCAAGCCACTTAGAATTTTTCAATCATAAATCATCATCCGAGTTGATGTTGGTTTAATGGTTTAGTGCTGTGTACAGGTGAGGTGCCAGCATGCACCAGGCTGTGCATAAGAATGTTGGTGTGTTACTGAAACCCACCTCAGGTCTGTGTTGACATAACTAAGTGTCACCAGTGATGCAGAAGCTTGCATGTTTAAAGAGCAGAGAGGAGGAAGTGTCAGACTTGAACTATTTTGCCTTATAGTGTAGTTGGGTGTGGTCAGGAGGTGGTGGTGGTGTTTGAAAACTAGTGGTGATGTTAGACTTAAACTATTCTGCCTTATAGTGGGTAAATAGCAAGCGTTAGTCGGGTGTGGTCAGGAGGTGGTGGTGGTGTTTGAAAACTAGTGGTGATGTTTGCACTTCAATTTAGGGCTCACTCAGATGTGAGCATTTAGGAAAAGTCATGTTAATGACAAAGGTGGAATTGATGGTAAATTGTAGTGAATTCTAAAACTGTTCCAGCTCTAGAGATAAATTACTTCACAAGAGCTGGTATAATGTACTTGAAGCAGGCAAAAGGAATGCTCACAAATGCTTAGTGTGCTTTAAGAATAATAGCAGTGGCTTCTCCAAGAACTTCATTCCCACCTAAGTATCTAAACTTAATATTTTTCAGTGAAATTCTCTTTACCTCACTGGTGTTTAACTAAAACCACAGGCTGGTTTTAGTTAAAAAGTTAAAACAGAGAGAGTGAGAACTTCTCATTTTCTTGTGTTGCTACATATCTGTAACTTTATTCTACTCCTTATTCAAGAAAGGTACCTTTAAATACTTGTTAGCTACCAGTCCTTTCTTTGAACAACAGGTTTTGTTCTAGTATGTGAAGTTCAAATGTATGAGTAAAACTTCTTGTGCAGCAGTGCTGCCTGTAAGATGCTCTATTGTTTAGACAGGCACTATTGCAAGTAGAAAGGGGAGTGACTTCATGGCTGAACTAGAGAAAAGTTGGAAGTAGCAAACCTTGTGTTAACTAACCCCAGTGCATTTTATGTCTTTGCAGAGATGCTTGAATGCTATGTCTGAGTAGAGTGTATGAATTCCCAGAAATATTTTTGATCCTGTTAGGGAAATAGCTAGTATTAGATATCTTGATAATCCAAGTGTAATTACCCCTTCCTATCGTAGTTCCTACCCAGGTTGAGCAATAGCTGGGCAAGAGAAGCAAAACAAATCTTACTGTGACCAGGCTACACTTCTGAGTGAAGTTTCACAGAATTTGCAGTGTGCTGATACTAATGCAGCACATGTTGAATAATGCAGTTTGGTCTGTACGAGAGGCTAAATAGATGTCAAGTTGTATTCTGAGTGATGAAAGACAATTTCTCTGAACTAATAAATGTCTTTTTTACAGGAAAATGGGTTTTATAGAAAACAAGTAGGAACAAGTGCTTTTGGCTTATTCAGGTATGTAACTGAAAAGCTTCTAAACATTTTATAGTTCTAAGTCTAAAGTAACTGTGTTTACAGTTCAGATGCTTTTGCATTGTGATAGTTACAAACATTATTGATCAATTGATATGGTAAGTCATAGTTGGCATTTACAAAACACTTGTTCCCCAAGGCACAGTGTGAGCTGATAGCTGTGCCTAACCTTGCTTAGCTTTCAAACCTACGTGAAAATTTTTAAATAAATGTACATTATTACTGAAATACAACAAAATGTTAGAAATTCTAATACAAAAACTAAGCAATCAGAAACCTTATAGAATATTTCCTACTAGAGTTTTTGTTCATGTACTACTTTTGTCTCATCTGTGATGATCCTATCCCGAACCTGAACTCCTGTTGAAAAACTTAATACGGATCCGGAATCTGAGACGAGACCAAAATACTTTATTTTTAAACTTTCTGAGAAGTATTAGTCTTTCTGGGTTTAGGGCTTTTGTTGGTTTGTTTTTGTTTTCTCAGAATTAGCAGCATGCTAACACAAACTGTTGTGTGCTTACTTGCAAATGAAAATTTCTACCTTGAATGAACCATTTTACTTAGATCTTGTTCTCCTTTTCCAGTGATGACTTGGACTACTTTGTCAGAACTGCCTGACAAATGTGGATGATGTAACCAGAAGGAAGTGTAACACCTGAAGAGATTTGTGGCTTGGAGTGGGATGCTGTGCTTTTAAAAGCCTGCTGAAACACCTGCAGTTTTGTTTAATAGACACTGTCTCTGCTATTTAAAACACCATCTTTCCAAAATACTGAACTGTCTTCTGTAGGAAGTATAGCAGTAATATTAGGGAAAGGAATACATGGAAAACCCCTTGACTTTTTACCCTTTTAAAATACCACAATGTCTACAGCTTGCATCACTGTATCCTAGTGAGGGAGTGAGGAATCGACGTTTTCTGGGCTGCCACTTCAGCAAGAGAAGTCTGGTTACAACAGTGGAACTGCCCTTTAGGGATACACTGGCAACAGTACTTGATTGCTTTCTGGGGGAAAGAGGTTGGTAAAAGAGAGGGAAAAGAAAGTTATGTACATTACAACCTGGGCTTTTGTCTTGGTTTGAAAAGACAGGTGTCTGCTGAGGAAGAAAGTTGCCTCCCTTGAAATGAAAAATATAAGCTTCTTCCCTCTGTTATAATTTTGAAATTAAGGGGCTCTCAGGCAAAGATATGGGACTAGGAATAACAGTTCTTTATTAGGAAAAATAAAAGTAAGAATAAAAATGCAGTAATACAAAACAACTCTGACAGAGTCAGAATACAGCCTGACAGCCTTGTTGGTCAGGGTGTTGGTAGCAGCCCGATTAAATGGTGGCTGCAGTCCTCCTGGATTGTCAGGTGTGGTTCTCTTGGAGCAGTGATCCTGTAGAAGGGTGGAATTCCTCTGAAGGTCCAGTGGTTGTGTAGATGGGCCTGGTGATCATCTGAGAATCTAGAGGGAGAAGGCTGACTGGTGTTCCAAGTCTCAGATTGTGTCCAGGTGGGAATGTTTGGCCACTCTCTCTAGGTGGAGCTTCTCACAATGGGGTGATGTAAGTTTATCAGTCATGCAGTGAGACTCAAAGGCCCATTAATAGAAGATATCTTCCTGGAGGGAGCATTGGTTGTTGAAGAGATAAAGAAAGCTGCCCAATTAACAGAAGATAACTGTCCCACCTTTAACAGATGGCAAATAGAACAACCCTATAGATCATGGGGGGTACCTGTTCATCAATGACAAATTTCTCTGACAAAGTAGTATGAAGTATTAGCACTACCAGGAACAGCACATAAAGCATTGGAAATGTCAAAAATAAGTATCCATCAGCCTACTGAAGTGGATGCTAAGGATGTTACTGAACCTCAGGAGTGTATTGGCTCACTGAGCATCTCCTATTTGCTTATTAAGAACTGACCAGTCTATTGAATATCAAGATAAGCAGAAATAAGCTAGAAAATAGCTTTCTCTTCATTGCTTTCAATACTTGTTTCTGTTAACAAATGTTTCTGAGAATGGTGCATATTTTTGTGTGCCATGTTTTGTACATGCTTTTGAATAAAGATGAAGATGTTAAAGTCATGGCTGTTGCACATCAGTTGTGGATCACACCTGATGATCACTGTGTTCTTCTCAAGAGCTATGGAGGCCATGTGGCCTTGTGCTGACTGGTGCAGCAGGTACTGGGCACACAAAGCTTGAGTGGCTCCAGGAAACTACTGACTGTGTACTCAAGAAGTCAGCAGGTAAGAGTAGTCTCAGTCTTCTGCCCACTGCAGATCTGCAAAAAGTGGGTGCTGTTAACAGCATCTAGTAGAGCTGCTTGGCTGGTAAGTCCAGAAGTTATCAGTCCTCTTCTGGATGTTAGGATGTCAAAGAGCAGAGAGATGGTTAATAGAGCAGCAATATTTGCTAAGTACTTTCTGGGTATTCAAAGGGATACATGGCTTCATCACAGGGTTAAAAGAGCAGCATATGTTTTTGAGAATAAAGGTACCATCTTTGTCCTTTAGGCTGATGTTAATACAGAATGTTAACTTAAAGATAATGCTATATGTGTGTGCAGTAAACCTTGTGAAAGTGAGTTTATCTTGTGATGTTGGAGATGAAATAGAACACTGAAGGTTCAGGGTTGTGGGTGGCATTTCAGGTGCCCAAAGTTTTCATGACAGTCTTGCTTTGTATGTTCTAGAACGTTGGCTGGGTATGGTCTTGGTGGGATTGGCGGCAGATAAAGGGTGCCAGGAAATAAAGTTACTGCATATCAGTGTGGTGGAGGTGTGTCTCAAAATGTTAAATCATAAGAAAGATTGGCCTCTGAGCATATAAAAAAGATGTGGCCACTGGTGAGGTATCTTCAATATTGAGCTGTAGAACTTCCTCAAGGAATGATCTTGTACTTCAGAGCTACTGAAAATTGGTGGCCGATAGTAAAAATGTGTATTAGTAGTGTAGGGAGTCAAGTGATTACAAAAGTTAATTACTGTTTTAACCATGGCATGTTCCAGAGGATTTGGTTTATAAGACCAGTGAAAATTACTATTTTTATAATCAATTTTAGGATGGAAAAGATGGCTTTTTCTGCCTTGTGAGAGGGGGTTAATATGTTTTCAAACCAGTTGTGGATTCAGTGCTGGTACATTTTCTGGAGTGATGTTTGATACAAGTGAGATAAGGAGATGTAGTTTTGGAGAGTTACAGTGTGACACGTTTGGAACACATGGCATGGGATTTCTCTGCAAAAGCATTTCATGAAACTTTGGGTTTTCAAAACAGATTGTTAAATTCAAAGCTTTAAGATTGTGCAGTAAACAGCATGAAAGCATTTTTCTGCTTTTGTGTTTTAGTCCAGTGAAGTCTTGCACTAACCATCATTAGCGCAGAGCTAGAAGTGTCAGGTGGCTGTTGGGCTGTGGTCCAAGAAATCGGTGGTTAAACAAACTCTTCTGGAATGTTGCCATTTATCGGTCTTAGTAACTGGGCAAAACCAGCAGAGACTCAGTAATTAAACAAATGTTGAGCTTATAAGCAAGAGAAGTACCTTGCAACCACATGGAAGATTCGAGAGTAGCTCTGCAGAAATGCTTTGCTGCTATTGAAGTAAGAAGGTCCTTATTAAGGTGGGAGGTTTTCTCTTGCTGAAGAACTTGTCTTACTGGTGAAGGCTGTGATCTGTAATCAAGAGTTGCAAGTTGGTGAAACTAAGCTAGCAGTGGTTATCTTGCCACAGCACCCACACTGCTCCGTGACTGCCAGTGCTGCTGTGACACCTGCTTGAAGTATCAGATCCCAGTGAACAGGAATTTCAGAATAAACTGTGCTGTCTGGCTGCCATCCTGCAGAGGAGTGTGTGACTGGCTGCAGCTATATGGTGTGTTGGGGTTCTTACCATCTCTCCTGCAGGAAAGCTCTTAACTGTATAAATTTGCCATACAAAGTTTGGGGTATGTGTTCTGCCAATTAAAAACCAGCATCGAAATTAAATCAGTTGGTAAAGAAAAGCATTCCATAGGACATTCAAACATGGACACAGCAGAATCAGCAAGTGTTTGACTTTGCCCAAGGAAAAGTTATTCTTTATACTGAAGGGTGTTCAGCCCTAACTTTGGTAGCTTTACTTCATACTCCCTCCCTTTGTCCCAGAGGACAATCTTTGAGCTATCATCTGGAGTATGAAAGAATTTAACAGAAAAATAGTAATTTCAGATGACTGAAATACACATGGAGGCTTTATATGCTATGTAAATACATGTCTGATGATTTGCATTCTTTATTTTTTGGTGTTACAACCGGTTTTAGGAGCATTTTTGCTTGTCTGCCCTAGTATTTCCCTCCGAGGATATAAACTGGAAAAGTACAATTAGAATGATGAATTCTATTTCCTCTCGAACATCATGTGGCTTTTTAGTTGATAGTCCAGTTGAGCTATCAGGGCTATGAAGACAGTACTTCTCTGCCATTGTCTCAAACTTCCTGCAGGCTCCGGAGGACAAAGTGGTGTTTGATGCTCAGAAGAATGGCTGTATTGAGCGGGACAAAGTCTGCCTCGTTCAGTATTCTGTCTGAGGATGACCAGTATAAGGAACAGGAGAAGTATACAGAGCCTTTCCAGCACTTTTCTTGGGAATTTTCTGAGATTTTCATTTGTGGTTGAATACTACTTTGCAAATTATGACCTATCTCCATTTAAAAATATTTGAAATATGACTGATATGTGGGCTGTAAAATAGATGAAGTAATGGGTATGTTAATAAGTGTAGGGAGGGGAGGATTTGGATGGGGCTGAAGTAAAAGTTGGTTTTTTCCCCCTTTTTGAAGCTGATGTTAGTTTTGATTCTCATGTTACTGAAAACAGTGGTAAGTGATGCTCAATGAGAGCCCCTGTGCTAGGACAGCCTTGCTGTTTAACTGAACTGTTCTGGATGGGAAAACTTGAAGTACTGTGTGCTCTTACCCCTGAGCTATACTTCAGGCTTCTCACCAGACCAGTAAACACTATCTTTTTCCCTGAAACTGGAGTTCTCCCTAACTGAAGGAGCACTCTCCCAGCAACAATGGTACTAGTTTTAGAGTGACAGGTGAAGAATGATTAATATCTGTCCCAAAATGAAGTTCAGTCTTTTTTTTTGTGGAAAGAGATGAATGGACTGTAATAAAATAAATGCTTAGACCTTCCTTTGAAATTGGTAAGTTGATTGGAAAGTAAAGGTATTTTTAAATAGTCTGAAGATCATTGAAGAATATGCAGCTGTTGATATATCTGTGTTTCATCTTACCTTGACAAAATAGGAAATAATTTGCCCTAGGCTTACCTTGGTTTCTTTCAGAGCAGGGAGTATTGCAAATACTAGGGTCTTGCAGAAAACTTTTGAGGCTTAAACTCATGTGTCTCGAGGTTTAAGCCCAGACAGTAACTAAGTACTGCATCCTAGGATGGAGAGGAGAATATGAGGAAAGATAAAAGCAATGGGTTGAAATGAGAACAGAATTGAAATGAAACATAATCATTGTACCATAAAGGAAGACAACAAAAAGAAAAACCCCAAGATAAGCCAGTGATGCCAGTAACTAAGTAGTGCATCCTACCTGTCCTCATAGGATGGAGAGGAGAATATGAGGAAATGGGTTGAAATGAGAACAGAATTGAAATGAAACATAATCATTGTACCATAAAGGAAGACAACAAAAAGAAAAACCCCAAGATAAGCCAGTGATGATACACAATACGACATGCTAACATGCCCAGCCTGAGTGATGATCCATGCCTCCTGGCCAGCTTCCCTCAGTTTACGTACTGGGCATGACATGCTAGTATAAAATATCCCCTTGGCCAGGTGAGGTCAGCTGTCCTGGTCTTGCTTCCTCACGGCTTCTCGAGACTTCTGGCTGTTGCTAAGTAGTGCAACCCCAACATCCAACTGTTACCAACTCTATTCTCATTCTGAATCCAAACCACAGCACTAAGAAGTACCGGCTACTAAGAAGAAAACTAACTAACCCAGCTGAAACCTTTATGGTGTGTGAGCTCTGTCTAGTAGTTAGGTCATTTTCTGCAGCAAAAAATACGAGCAAAATTGCTGTCTTTTGTTTCATGCACAACACCAGAAAAGTACAATATTCAAACATGGTGAGGGGTGAGTTCTTAATGTCATTTTGACTTCATAACTAAAACAGCTCAG